TTATACAATCGATTATTTTTGATAGAACGTACCTGTTTTTTGTAACGTTATCATTATGCTGTTGTATATTTCTTCAATATGCTGAATCTAACTGAGCTTTGATGTTAACAGTCCCCAATAAAGCCAGTTCCATCGAATTATGAAGATGTGTTTTAGAGTTTTCATGCTTCTTAATTTTTTCACTCAGGTGCACTAAATCTGTAACACCTACCTCCGTCCAAGCTTTGTCGCCCCCGAAAAGTATGCAAGGAAAGCAGAAAAGGGCATTCTTCCTGTTGCACCCACAAATCCAGTCATTTCTGGTGTAAATCTCCCTGCTGAAATGTAGTCTGTAAACCACATCGATTGTCTTGCACTACCCTTTTACTCAGCCACAGTCAGTCAGTGAGTCACTAGTCACTCAACGTAAGACCCAAAATACCTGAATAAAAAATTATTCGCATTCAAATTTTAAGCCACGTCATGCGACAAGACCAATATGCCAATACCGAGGACCGAGCACCGACCGACCAATCAGATATCGTACTTCGCATTAGACCTGTACGGATCTACATAAATTGCAGCACATGCTTATGCTTAAATCGCGCATTTGATTTTGTAGAGAGATGGAAAAGCAAGCGCGTGCGGCTTGTGTCGAAGTAGTGCACAGACCCTTTTCAAGTGGCCCATGAATAATGTTACACAAGTACACAATTGGTCGATTATAATGCTGCAAAACAGACTGGACGCCGTGTCTTGCGGGGGCATGCCGGTATTGTTTCTATTTGTGTGGTAACATGGAAAATAATACTGATAAAATTACTACTGTTTTTTTGTGGAAAAATTTTTTTGTAGTTCTGCTAACTTATAGCAGTAGTGGTCCCAGGTATTTAGGTTTGTGCCTGCCTACGCGGCTACTTCAGTAAGACAAAAAAGCAACTTTTACACTCCTCTCGAATTAATGAATTCTCAAAATTTGCATTTGTTCATCAGCTATGTAATTGCAATAATTTATTGCGCTTAGCACTCAATGATTGTAAAGTGATGATACAGCTATTATACATTTTTATGCACGATATGCTGGGATGGCTTTGTAATAATTGCATCTGATGGAATGTTACTCACTGATATTTGCTGTTTTACAAATTGGATAAGGTAGAGATTAGCTGCAGTATGGTCCGCTTATTTTCACACTTGAATCGGAACCACTGCAGCGTGGGAATACATTTGTACAACTTAACGATGATGAGGCTTTACACAACACTTAGGCCCATTGTACCTTCTCCCACGGGCTCCTTAGGGTTTGCATCATCAACTACCTCAAACTATTGAAGAAGGCCAACGCTCCCCAAGAGTATATATACAGGGTGGCGCATCGAAAATGAAACAGACGCATTTACTGGCAGCTCAGTTTTTTTTTGGAAAACGCTCAGACCCGTCGATTTTGTTTTCGAAGGTGATACAAGTCTGGCAAAAAATCACGTTAGCACGTGCAGCCCCCTAAGCGGGGGTGACACCACCCCCAAAATCTTAAATGGAGAGGGGGGTCGAGTGATACCTTATTTTAAAGGTCTTTCAATTCCCTTTATAATGATATAAAATTAATGTACTTCAGTTCAGTAGTTTTGAAGATTTATTGACTTAAAGCTTCAATAAAACTAATACATCATCATTAGGTAGTAGAGATCAAGACATTTGGCGGCAAAGTAATTTAAAAATGAAGAATGCCGTTAGGCAAGTAAATGTTGAAAATGGCCACCATGACTCTCCATGCAATAATAAAGATTTCGGTCAAAACGTTGCCACACATTTTGCAATATTTGAGGAGTAATTTGAAGGCACTCATTCACAATTCTTTGTCGCAGGTCTTCTAATGATGTTGGCTGAGTAGTATAGATTTTGCTTTTTAAGTGACCCCACATAAAGAAATCCAAAGGTGATAAATCTGGCGATCTTGGGGGCCATTCAATGGCACCTCTTCTACCAATCCATCGATCTGGAAATGTCTGATCTAAGTATTGTCGAACACGTAATGCGTAATGTGGTGGGGCACCATCCTGTTGGAACATCAACCTATTCGCAATGTACCGCCGATCATTCTGATTTTCAATTATGGCTGTTAATGCAGGATATATGGCGTCTTCCAGTAATTCCAAATTTCCAGGTAAGAAAAAAGGACCAACTAACTGATCGCCAAAAATACCAGCCCAAACATTTAATTTTTGTGGCTGCTCTGTATGAACCTCATGATAAATTCTGGGATTAGAATCGGACCAATATCGGCAGTTATGACGATTTACTACGCCATTTAATAAAAAGGAAAATTCGTCGGAAGAGCAAGTGTTGAATAGAAAATGTTCATCTTTTATAATTCGTTTACTCATATCTTCACAAAATTGTAATCGCCGATCAAAATCGTCTTCATTAAGTTCTTGTACCAGGTGAATTTTACACGGATGAAAACTATGGGCCTTTAGAATCCGTTGGACAGTACGTCGACTAACACCACACACACCAATTTGCGGGTACGTAACGTAGGATCTACATAAACTTGCCCTAAAACCCCTACTTCAATTGCTTCGTTCCTTATGGGATTTTCAATGTTGCGTTTTTTATTGGCGACTGACCCAGTTTCTCTAAATTTAGCTACAAGTTCTAGAACATATTTTTGATGCACGTTACTGTTCTCATGTCGCTCATTAAATATTTCTGCTGTTCTATTAGCGCACTGATTATTTCCGAAAAATATTTCGGTAATTTCAACTCTTTCTGCTGTGGAATATACCATGGTCAATTTATGTAATAAAGCGTTACAAGTTATTTTAGTAACAAAGTTTGGTCAAATCAATCGCAAACTATGTACTAAATTCCTGTTTAAAATAAGTACGAGATACAAATTTGTTTATCTTTCTTCAAGAAATAACTTTTTTGCCACAAAAAACGCTCCAATAGCTATTTTCAACAACAAAATGATAAACAAACCATGGGCGTAGTAAAGACAAGCATTTACTTATTTAGTAAATTCTTTTAGTCAAATTTCTTCTGAAAGTAGTACAAACTAACCGGATGTACCTATTAAAGTCTACTTTAAGCTTTAAATCAATAAATCTTCGAAACTGCTGAACTGAAGTACATTAATTTTATATCACTATAAAGGGAATTGAAAGACCTTTAAAATAAGGTATCACTCGACCCCCCTTTCCATTTAAGATTTTAGGGTTGGTGTCACCCCCGCCTAGGGGGTTGCACATGTTAACGTGATTTTTTGCCAAACTTGTGTCCCCCTCGAAAACAAAATCGACGGGTCTGAGCGTTTTTCCAAAAAAAAACTGAGCTGCCAGTAAATGCGTCTGTTTCGTATTTGATCCGCCACCCTGTATACAGGGTGACTTCGAAGTTGAGTCATTTATTTTAACAGTGAGTAGATCTGATCAAAAGAAATGTTTTTTTCCTTTACCATTTTTCTGATAAAATTAAAGTAACAAAGTTATAGCCCTTTGGAAGTTTGAGTACCGCCCTGTCTCAATAATAATATCATGTACTCGTGTTTGGCAACAACGGATATAATCCACCTTATCGGTTCATCGCATCGGAAACAAAAAAGCGAAAGAATTTGGAACGATGTTTTTATTTCATTCAGTTCAGTTATACATACAGTCAGTGTCAGTCGCGTGTGAATAGTGTCTGTTGCGTGGCTCAAACGAAATAAAAAATGGCACATGTTTATGCGGATCGGTTTCCCAATCGAGTGCAACCAACCCCTCGTGCCCTTGTTAATGTAGTACAACGGGCTCGTGAATCAGGTGACTTAAGACCTCACAGGGCACCTCACGATCAAATACAAGTCCGCACTGAAATACTTGTCGGGAGAATACTTTATAAAACAAGGTAAACATTTTTTTTTATTTTTTTTTATTTTTACACACATATTTTGGTTTATCTTCCTTCTACAATCATTATCTGAAAATTAATGACTCAACTTCAAAGTCACCCTGTATATACAATATGTTTGGTCACGACATACCGATATCTAAGGGGTGTATTTTTCAGCTATTTTTATCGACAAATCCACCCCCTTACAATGTCCTACCTCACCCCTCTTGAAATGGCATCCATATTTATTTTTACGTTACGATTACGCTAGTGCATGGATGAAAATTGTAATAACTGAGTACTAAGTGTCACAGAACGATAAATTTGGTGCCAATTGAACAATAGCATGCTCTAGCGATTGTTGAAAAACCTGTATTGATACTAACCGTCAAGCATACTTAAAAACAGACAAAACCTGAAAAAAATATGCAAGAAAATTGATTATTTTGTACATTTCCGCACACGATTCAAAAACTAGTTTGTGAAGTTGTACTTTTTTGTGCTAATTCTACAGCTAACTATGTTATCTATAAAATGATACCAAATTTGTTATCCTAAGTCTTCTACATTAAGTAATGGATGCTATCTAACATTGGTCAAAGTATACATAAAAATGACAAATCAAAGATTCTTATGGATAGTTCAATGTCACAAAAAATTCTATGGACGGATGGAGCAAAATTTACGAGGCAGGGGATCATAAACCATAGAAACGACCACTTGTGGTCTTCGGAAACCGCTCACGCAGTTCGACTGAGCACTTTCCAACAAGAAATTGATGTAAACATGTGGGTCCGAATGATCGACTGAGTTTTAGTCGGCCCAGGTGAGCTACCTCCAAGGTTAGATGACCAGGGATGTTTTGACTTCTTCTGAGTAGCGAGTTTTGAGATCTAAGCCACGTATCAACCACCGCAACATATGGTTGGAGCTCCCACACGCTTTTGCGCTAGAACATTTGTATACAACATTCTCCATGGATAGGACGTGGAGGCACTGTCGCTTGGCCACCCCGATCACCCGATTTAACGCCCCTAGATTAGGTCTCATAGATACTAAAAAATCTTATTCGAAGAGTTTTTTTGGGCCCAGCGTCATGCAGATTCGTTAAAGAGGGTCCCTTGTAAAAGTCATTTTTTCTGTTTCAGGTGGACTACGGACCAGCATTCTCAAGCAAACTATCAACGGTTTCGGTAAACCATGCTTTGCCATGGCAAGGCAGACATCCCTCAACATCTGCTGCTTCTTGTATAGATGTTGAAAGGAGGAGCTCTAGGGGAAAATTGTGTTCCATTGCTTTAGCTGTAGCGTCATTTGTAGTATTATTGGCTGTTTTGGCTATAGCTGGGCTAGCTCTGTATTTGGGTATTCTTCACACGGAGACTCCAAGCCGTAAGCATTCATTTTTCAATAATCAGGTTCACAATTTAAATAAAATTTGCGAGACACCTTAAAGCCGATGTATCATATACAGAGTATGACAGAATGAGAGATTAAAGGACGGATTCAACACGAGAAGTATTAAAAATGGTTGTTTCTGCACTTCTCATCCAACATTTCGGACAATGTTCTGTAACACCCTGTATCTTATTTGTTCCAGCGGTTCTGTCCTTCAATTGTAGCGTGAAAGTAATAAAGGGCGACATTTTCATTGGTAACTTACAAGAAAAGATGAGAAAGTACAAAAAACAATTCGAAACACTGTACCAAAGGAGTATATTAGGACCTGCATTTATTTCATGTCTGGTTGACAGGTTTGGAAATGACACACAAACAATTTACTTTAGGTTAGCTTTTGACAGGAAGAAGTTATCAAGGTTTGTGAAACTATTTTTTTGACATGCACATACACAGGGTGTTCCTTAAAGGTATGCGAATATTTAAGGGTGTGAATCTACATAAAAAATTTATGTTAGTTTGCTTTTCCTTCGACGCGCAATTTTTGAGTAAAAAAATAAAAGCCATTCTATTGTCCGAGAAAATTAATGTAATAATTGAAGAATGCAATTTAGCAATAAATATCTAGTTGTTCTGGAATATGTCACTGGCTTTGGACATCTGACAAGTCTCTGTTATTCAAATCTGTTCGCAGTGACATCTTTTTCATTATTTAGTTTTTACAATCTTGTTAATAATGGTGAATTATTCAAATGCAGAAATGGCGGAAATGCATTACATATATGGCCTTGCCGACGGTAATGGTGAGCAAGCCAGACAAATTTATCACCAGAGATATCCCGATCGTGCTTTGCGAGATAGTCGAACCTTTTCTAATATTCATTGTCGTCTTGTTGAAACTGGTTCTGTCCGAAAAGGAACATCTGAAGGTAGACTTCTATGTGTGAGAACACCTGAAATTGACGAAGCAGTGCTGCACGAAGTCGAAGAACATCCTGAAACGAGTTCGAGGAAGATCGCTAGACACTTAAATAGTTGCCATCAAATTGTTTAGAGAATTTTAGTGGATTTTTTGTTATATCCTTACCATTAGACATTACTTCCCATTGATTGTCCAAGGCGTGTGACCTTTTGTAAGTGGTATCTTCAAAAAATTATTATTGATGATGTTACGTTAGTAATAAGAAACAATATGTGGTACATGCATGATGGTGCACCAGCGGTTCGTAATTATTTACAGCCTGCTTATCCAAATTGTTGGATTGGCCGCGGTGGGCCCCAAGAATGGCCACCAAGGTCCCCAGACCTCAACAGTTTAGATATCTTTTTGTGGGGCTATCTTAAGACACTAGTGTACACAAGTCCCATTAACACTGTAGAGGAATTAAGAGGAAGAATAGTTGCAGCGTGTGAATAAAAAACACTCCAGGGATATTTCAACGAGTGCGCAATTCCATGAGAAGGAGGGCGGAATCATGCATGCTAAGTGAAGGGGGCCATTCTCAACAATTTTTGTAATCATTTCGCTGGTTTTAATGTTATGTTTATGTTGCCAGTTGTTGTTGTTCGTTATCCCCAATGTGTTCAATTTTTCCAATTAAATTAATAATAATTTTGCAAGTTGGACAATAGAACGGATTTTATTTTTTGACTCAAAAACAGTTTAAGAGGAACGCGGAATTCAAAAATGATTTTTATTTGGCAAAAAAACCATTGGCGCACCATTTTTTTCTTAAAAATTATCGAAGTCAACATCCGTACGCACCCCACTGTTAAAGCTAAAAATTATTTTTGCATTGAAAAATATGCAACCTTATCAACTTTCATTACGTACTGAATATCAGTGAAATATCTGGAGCGGTTATGAAAACATTAATTAATTTCCATGTTTTTCCTAAAACACACCCTTAAATATTCGCATATCATTAAGAAACACCCTGTAAATTTTACATAGCTTAAAATCTCCTCATACTGAGGACGCCTTGTTTGCTTTTCCACTTGGGATCTTGAAAGTGTGTGTGTGTGAGAGACACAGAGAGAGAGAGAGAGAGAGAGTGAGAGAGAGCTGTGAGGTACACAAGAACGCAATTTTTAGATCTGAGGCATCCTTGTTTTCATTGGTTATCAATTATACAGGTCTACATTTTATGTATGAGTCATCACTGGACTCCATAGAAGTATCTTAAGGTTCTAGGGTCGGTTCACCTTTATCAGATCCAAGGTCACTTGAAATCCAAATGTATAATAAATGCCTAAACAACTTTGAAAGAAAAATGTATATTGTAGTTTTTAGATTGGTGAATCCAATTCTGGCATTTTGTCCAGTAAGGTCATCCACTTTGACCTTGGAATAATTTTAATTTGACATTGTGTAACCGCTGGAGACGCTTGCCGGTTGACTCCAATGTGAACGATACCGCATTAGGATAATTTCAAATCCGATTCCGATTTCGAGGAAGGAAACGAAATCGTGAAATTCAATCACCAACAATTTCGCCCAGCTTCAACAGATGGATTTGAACATTTATACACCGCCTTCAGATAGTTACGAAACAAGTTTTATGTGAGCTTGAGCTGATCTTTAGATAACATTTTTCCAGGTACGTTAGATATGGATTGAGAGATAAAGAGCGTGGAGGTTTGACCTTGACATAACCTCTTGATGACTGCCACCAGATTTAGAAAGAGACCCAAAAAACTGCAATATATCTTTTTCATAATGTTTAAGAATTTTTTTGAATTTGACCTTTGACCTGACGCGATAGACGAACCAGAACACTCAGATCAGCGACTCAAACATTCTCAGACACTCCAGTCTTAGATCAAATGTCATTAAATGATGGCTAGGTAATAAAAAACCATTAAACGACTAAACATCGATGCCTCAGATTGCACAAGGCCAGCAAATGAGGCGACTTTAAGATGAGGAGGCGAGTAGAGCTGTTTTAAAAATCTGTATTATATTTCAGGAGTATATCGAACATAGAGAAAGCTATAAAAGACATCCTCTTGACTGATGCCATATCACGGAACTCGGTTTTCAAGAACGTCCGATTTGACCAGAGATCACTTACAGTGCGTCAGATTTTGAGTAGTAGCAAAGAAATACCTTACAGCTACGCTGTTAGTGAGTCAGCAACAACTAAGACCATTTTGGATTCGAAACCATTCAACAGAGCTACAACTTCCAGTTTTCCGACATTCAGAAGAAACGAGTCTAGAAATGAAGATACCACTACTAAAAAAGGGTCATTAGTACACGGTTCCTTTAAGATTAGTAAAACAGATGCAGATATAACAGAAAAGAAAAGTGACACATCTGTGGAAAAGCCAAAAGCACCAGCCACTATAAAAAAAACTACATTGAAAGATACATCTGTCACAAGTGCGTTGTACAAGATCGCAGCTATCGAAAAGGTTACAAGTACACCATTAAGTTCTTCTACTACACCTGCTAGGATCACAATTACTAGCGCTACTACAAAAATCGTTACTCCAAAACCTACGAGGCCTAAAACTACAACCACAAAAGCTACTTTGGCCACAATGGCTTCAAATGACGCACCTTGGATACCAATTTTGCCGAATATGCCAGGGTTTCCAGTGTTATCGAATACAAATATGTTTTCATCAACAAACTCACCAAATATGCATCAGTTGATATATAGCAGCTTCACAAACCCAGGTCTTTCTTTAAACTTCAATGAGGCTGAAAAATTAGGAACCACTAGTCTGCGAAGTCACCCAATACCAGTTAACAAAATTCCTTTGACCGAAAATATGAATGGACATTCCACCTACGAGGTTACTGAGGCCCCAAGTCTTTTTGATGATGCTACCAAGAAAGATTTTGGCGCTGTTACAACCCAAGATAGTCCAGCAGCTGACAAATATGACAAAGATGAGAAACAGTATATAATTCGTAACATATCGTCTGTTTTTCATGATTTGGTATCAACGTTGGATACTTCAGAACTTGAGACTGCAAGTGAGATACTCAACGGGAAGGTAGATGAAGATGAGGAAATCATAGAAAGAACAGGTGAAGTTTATACTAAGTGACATATAAATCCGAACACCCAGTTTAAATGGTTTTATTTTAATAAAATTTTGTATAAGTACTTAATGAAGCATAATAAGTAAATGATAAAAATTTCAAAATGATTGCACTGTTTTAAAGCCCTTTGACCTTTAATAATGTGTGGATGCACCCTGATGTGCTACGCAAAGAAGTCTATTGTGCCTCTTGCAACATGTGGTCGGGCATTATCTTGTTGGAAAGTTGGATCTGCCAGGATGTCAAGATAGGGTAAAAGATGGGTTTCTAGAACTTCGTGGATATAACGCTGCGCGTTGATGTTACCTCTGATGAAGATTAAAGGTGACCTGGAACCATAAGCTATAGCATATAACCATAACTCCAACAGTGTGATGAACATGTCTTTCAACAAAAAACTGTAGATTCCTCCTTTCACCACGTCGCCTTCTAACCATTACACCGACGTAATTGCCTTGAGTGGTGCAGACAACGGTCACTCTGGGATCAGGAATTGAACAGTATTGTCTTCAGTGACGAGTCTCGATTTTGTTTAGGCATGCACGATGGTCGTGCCAGGGTTAGAAGGCGACGTGGTGAAAGGAGGAATCCACAGTTTTTTGTTGAAAGACATGTTCATCGCACTGTTGGAGTTACGGTTTGGGGTGCTATAGCTTATGGTTCCAGGTCACCTTTAATTTGCATCAGAGGTAACATGAAGGCGCAGCGTTATATCCACGAAGTTCTTGAACCCCATCTTTTACCCTATCTTGACACCCTGGCAGATCCAACTTTCCAACAAGATAATGCCCGACCACATGTTGCAAGAGTCACAATAGACTTCTTTTAACATAATGATGTCACATTGTTACCATGGCCACCAATTGAGCACGTGTGGGATATGATGGGAAGGAGATTGCTCAATTTGCAACGTCCTCCTCAGACTCTAGAAGCACTTCGAGAGGAGTTGGTGGTTGCCTGGAATGAGATACCGCAGGTGGACATTGACCACCTGATCAGAAGCATGCCTAGGCGCGTTGGAGAATGCGTAGCACATCAGGGCGCATCCACACGTTATTAAAGGTCAAAGGGCTTTAAAGCAGTGCAATCATTTTGAAATTTTTATCATTTACTTATTATGCTTCATTAAGTACTTATACAAAATTTTATTAAAATAAAACCATTTAAACTGGGTGTTCGGATTTATATGTCACTTAGTATATTTATTTTGAAATGACATTGGTGGTTTCAACATTTACTGAATTTTAGACTTCGGCCTTACAAGACTCATAAGAAGGCCATTTTGGTCGATTTATTTTTGTATTTCATCATAAACTATCCTTTATCCTACACAGGGTGTTTCAGAACCAAGAGATCAAACTTCTAGGAGTTATTCAGTGTAACAGTAGAAAACATTTGAGTATAGGGACCCATATCCGGAAAAGTGTCACTACGGCACTACGCGTTAAAATTTAGAAAGACGATGAATTGCCTAAATAGGATTAAATGCCTTTAATTCTTGCCTTTTGTACATGGTATCATCACAACGATTGTTCAAAATATCTTCCTCCAACCTAAATAGATCGATTTAAACGTCGCACATGATTTCGACGGATTTGACTAAAGATTTGATACTCGTTTTGAATGATTTCAAATGCTGCTGTAATTCGTCCAACTAAGTCTTGCTATGTTCTTACTGGAGTTTCGTAAACCAAAGACTTCACATGTTCCCACAGGAAAAAATCTAGCGACGTTAAATCGGGTGACCTAGGAGGCCAAGAAACTGCTCCACCTCTGGCAGTCCAACGGCGCCCAAACCGCTGAGCCAAATACTCACGTACTTGTACAGCAAAGTGAGCTGGCGCTTCATCATGCTGAAACCACATTTGCTGTCGAACGTTCAATAGAACATTTTCAAGAAGTTCTGGAAGAACTTCCTCCAAGAAACGCCGGTCAATAGGTCCTGTTAACCGTTCAACAATGCCTGCCCATACGTTGACAGACCAACGTTGCTGATGTTTCTTTGTCCCAAACGTGGCTATCCCTTCACAAATACGATAGCACGACTAAGGATAACAACATATAAGCGCCGGATATGGGTCCCTAAAGTCAAATGCTTTCTACTGTTACACTAAATAACCCCTACAAGTTTGATCCCGTAGTTCTGAAACACCCTGTATAAATGACAGAGAAAATGCACCAGCGACTAGGAGTGGTGTAGTTTTGAGCATAGTTTTCCAAGGACAAAATGATTAAAATTTTGTCTGCGAACTCTGGGCATGATAATGCAATGAAACAACAATGAAACAAATGGAACAAATATTGTTCAGATCGTGATATGACAAAAAGCTTTTACAAAAAAAAGTACGGCTTGGAAAGACTTCAAAATTTTATCAGCGTATACTTCCAAGATTGCAAATATATTTACAAGTTTTTATCAAAATTTAATAAATAACTCTGGGCGTTGCATTTTATATGTCACTTAATATATTTTTGTACATTACTTCTTCTTTCTCCAATAGCTCAAGGCAATGAAACAATATTTTTTCTAGGTCAAGTTGAGGTAGTCATGGAAGAAACTGCCGACCTAGTTTCTCACACCACAAAGATACCATTAGTTACTTTGTTACCAGCAAAGTCGAATTCTGGGATTGGACGGCCTATAAGGAAGAGACCCTACAAAATAGGTCAACCGGAATTTGCTGTAGAAGATAGAAGCTTTTCAGGTTACCCCGTTTTCAGTATAAACAGTGAACGGCAAGATAATCACAAGAATAGTTTTAAAGTATTGGGAATATTAAATTTTGCGAATGAGGGATCTCTTGAAAGTAGAAAAGACGATACTGTTCGACAGTCAGATTCGAATCCGAAGATTATGTTAAAGGTGGAAGCTTAGAGAGCTAAAATATCTACGATTTGAAAAACCTTAGGCACAGGTGATTTTTTTATATCTCATGTTTTTTTTTTCTTAGCTGTCCAATAAGAACGTGCTTTTTTCAAACATGTAACAGAAATATAGATATGCTGCTAGACATCTACATTTATGGAGAACGATAGTCTTCTAATTTTAATCGCAAATTTTGTCTACTTTCACGTCCAGCTGTTTGTCCTTATCATAATGTCATTAAGAAGGGAAATAATAAACAGCAGTGGAAGAACAGAAGTCACATTTATCTTAAGTTAAGTTTTCAAACAGAAAACAATGTGGTCTCTAGCTCTTTCCCCTTTCCTCAGTTTTTCCTGCAAGTCCCCCCCTTGAACCCGCGCCTGATACCAGCTGCTAGGGTGATATTTTTTTCGTTTTCCATATTTTGATCCAATTAACGTAGGGGCACTTCCTGTTGCTGTTTAACACGTTCGCGTTGTAGTCGATTTCGGATGTGTTAAAGCACAGCCGTAATATTTTTTGGCGTAACATGTGAATATTTTTGTATTTGTGATCAACAGGCTTTTATATACATATGTTTTATGTTTTATCTACTTGTTTTTAATTGTTTTTAGTCATGTAACACCGGTGGTACACGTCGTCTGTGACATATATTTTTGTTCAGGGAGGTCATGTACCACCGGTGGTAAATGAATAAAAACAAAAAAAAAACAAAAGAAAAAACATAAAACATATGTATATAAAAGAACATTGATCACAAATAACAAATCTATAGACGGTTATAAAATTAGCAAGCAGTCCAACAGACAGATAGACCGACGGAAGAAGAGTGGCACGGTTTTAAGTGCCAGGTTTCATGTTCATACGAGTATGTCAAATAGTTTTTGAGATTTTGTGATTAATAGGTGACGGAATTGTATATAACAGCCGACAATATTTTTATTTCGACCCGGCATTGCCAAGCAAAAGTAATTTACAGAAAGTATGTTCTTATGGACCACCATGTACTATGATTTAAATTAATTAATATCTTAGTTTTATCCAGTACTTTTTTTAGAAGAGCTCTTTCCATTTTATGAAATAAAGCTTTTGGAAAAGTAACATCATCTGTATGTTACCGTGTATTTGTCCATATTTTTGTTCTGTACATTTATGGATTTTTTCATTAAAAGCCTATAAATAAACAAATATTTTTTTTCATTTATTCAATCCAGATATTTCCACTACAGGTTCAAGAATGTCTAGTACAAGCTCCTTAAGTCGAGCAATTTTGGTTAGTATCTAAGTTCTTTGTGAAACTGGAGTTACGTCAAGTAATTTCTTATACAAGGTGATACAAAAACACGGGCAATATCTCTAGGGGAGAATAATATGTACTACATGAAGCCTATAAAGTTATCCTCTCCGGGGATACGATCTTTACCGTCCTGCCCGTCCTATAAATATTGCCACATACCTAAAACCACCCTGTGTATATGCGAAATTAGAAAAAGAGGGCTTTGCTCAAGCATTTATATTCCTACTATGATGCTACCTAATGATGCCAGCCCTCTAAAAAAGACGATACGTCATCGATAAGCTCCAGTGGCGTGTAGTAAGGCGTGAGAGAAGTGGCTTTACGTCCATGACCTAGCATGTGACCCTTCACAGGAGACCAATCCCCCCCCTGAAATTGAGCTTTTCAGGATACAAAAACTGTCCAAAATAGCTTGGAACATAAAGCTGAAATGCATGAATATATCTTTTCGTTGAGGAACTAGAACGTATAGCCTATTAGTTGTACGTTTATCCAGCTCCAGTGGAAAATTGGATAACTGCTGAGTGCAACCCAAAAAGAAACTATCCAGGATACTGGCGAGTTGGGAAGATTTCACCAGTCTATGAGGAAAATATTGGAGCTATTTATTCTGCCTGGAGATTAGAGCGTTTCATTCATTCCGAAGTTGTGACTCACATGACTACTCATTCACAAGACTCATTTTCATGGCGATTGAACTCTGTGATTTTCTGGCCATACCTATAAATTACGTTTTACTAATCAGTACCTAGTAGCTTATATATATATATATATATAGAGAGAGAGAGAGAAAATGATCATGCGGAGAAGGGTATATAACAAAAAATAGGAAAATAATGGGTAAAATTGGCTTGAACTCATGGAGTTATACTCTCACCAAGTCTTTGTCGTTCATACCCGGCCAATTCGTTGAATTTATCAGTGCTTACCGTTTTTTTGCACGCGAATTTTTAGTATTCTGTCACCACGTAGATGCCAGGCAATTCCAAGAACGTCTGTGTTTTTTGGCAATGACGTGTCGTGCCTTTTTGTTCAAAAACCAGATTCTTATTCGCAAATGTCTCCAGCTCAATTGTGTTCAACCAGTCGGCTTTTGCATGATATACGCAAACAGATGCAGCTCTGACAAAAAGAAACATCAAAGACAACGGCATCGTTCTGAGTACAATCGCGGAGTATCAACAATATGCTCATAACAAATCGGTAACTAGGTTACTGCTCTAGGAATGAAATGCAGTTTGTTTTCAAACTAGGTAAACCTAGATACCACGCGATGCCTGATTTGAATACCGACACACAGAGTTTTAGTATATCATACGTTTTGACTTATGAGGGGATTGAGGGAGAGGAGAATGGCAGAGTCGTAATAGCTTGATTACCTATTGCTTTTGGATATATCAGCTATCTTAAATCTTTGTTATGTATGTTACTAGAAAAACATGCTCATTATTGCCTGACCTAGATGCTCTGAGAAGAAAAGTCCCAACTTTGACCACAATCTGTATAATCATGAGACTGACAATAATACATGTTTGCTTTTGATTCAAGAATGATCTAGACGTCAAAAAAGTGCAATCACAGTTGCCTAAACACCTTTGGTATCTGTCAGAGACATTTGTGGGATTGGCTTTTTAGACTAGAAGGTAAAGTTTAGTGTTTAAAGGTGAACGCATGAACCATTTCGTTATCTAAAAAACAAAGACGCCCTTTCAATTGTCTGGGATTTCAGGGTGACAGAACATTGCAGCGATTTCCACGTGCATACTCTTAAGGGAATAATACACTCAAAACAATTCCATGACTACTCACCAAGCGAAGAAAAGAGATTGCATCGTAGAAAATTGATTAATACACAAATGTTGAAAATAATTTTAATGCCTGTTAATCCTAGAATTTAAAGTTACTATCGATTTAAGTCTTTGATTTCTAGTTCTCAATAATGGCATAATACTGAGAATTTCGTATTTATTCCTACCTTTGTGAAAGTGATCAAAGTGTGCAAAGTGTAAACCTGCGGCAAAATGTTAAAAGGTATGTATGTCCTTTCAAGTCAAGTCGTCGAGAGGGCGGACATAAGAACAATTCAGTAAAATTGTATAAGTAGATATATGAAGAGAAGGCCATCAAAATCACAATAAAAATTGAGGTCGAGATAAAATTCGTGAAGCAAGTTGATTTTATAAACGGTGGGCCATCGTTGGTTTCCTTTTTAAATTGGTATTAAAACTACACTCTTCAATAATATTTAACACTCGATACTTTATTCAAAAGAGTACATATTCCGATTATTTATGAAAAACAATTTCAGTTAAATGGCTGCCGCGGCTGGCCTGGCGTTAACCCAATTTTGAAGCACATTGTCGATAGTTTGTGGGTCTATTTCATCAATAGCTCGACGGATATTTTCCTTAAGAACATCAATTGTTTGAGGATCGTTAGTGTAACAGCGGTCCTTAATAGTACCCCATTGGAAGTAATCCATGGGCGTCAAATCACAGCTGCGGGCTGGCCAATGAACGTCTTCAAAACGGCTGATAACGCGATGCCCGAGCTTAGTATGTAAAAGCTCGATTGTTTCACGGCTGGTGTGGCATGTTGCGCCATCCTGCTGGAACCAGAGATTGTGCAAGTGCATGTCGTCTAATAGTGGCCACAAAAAACTCCTCAACATGTCTCTATAGCGTTCCCCGTTTACCGTCACGCTGTTACCACCTTCGTCTTGAAAAAAAGTAGGGACCAATAATCTCACCACTCCAAAAGCCACACGAAACAGTTACTCTTTTTGGATACATTGATTTTTCTATGACGACTTGTGGATTTTCAGAACTCCAAATCCTACAGTTCTGCTTGTTAACGTAACCTCCCAGAGGAAATGGGCTTCGCCCGAAAAGATGATTTGGCGACCAAAATTGACTTCCATTTCCAGTTGATTTAGAGCCCACACAGAGAAACGATATCGGAAGGATGGTAATTTTGTTTCAACTCTTTGGAGGAAGTTTGACACAATACTTCTGTCAATATTTTGAGCACGGAAGTGTTACCAACTGTCAAAATAATACCAACTCAAAAAAAATTGACTCAAGTCCGTTTAACTATTTGCCACAGGAATGTAATCCAAATGCTATGTGAAAACCACATTTTGGTAAAAAATTGAATGCCCCCCTGGAGATAGCCATTTCGAGCGGTTTTTGTAGATTCGGAAGCTTCGCATGTAATATTTGCTAATAAAAACTGTATCTTCGAAAAGAGACAGTTTTTCGGAATTCGGCGAAGGAGAAAATAGTCCCAGGATAGTCTAAATAATGACTTCACACATGTTATGTTAAGTATATTTTCTAGACGATATTGCATCCAAAATTCTCTGGAACGTAGTCGAAGATAATCCTGACCATAAACTGGAAGTAGCTGGTTCATTGTTCGACCTTCCAAGGTAGTCATCATAGTAGTCGTAGTCTGTCGTGATGACGTTGAACTTTGCATAGTATGCCGCCGCGAAAGCAGAATATATCAGCAAAACTGCTGTGATCAGCTGAAAGAAGGATGGGATAATAGTCAGTAACGTCTCAAAATGTATTAGTCTACAAAGTACATAATCCATTCTATTTAATTAATTAATATAATTAAAAATTTGCCTACAGCTTCTTTGTGATGAGTCCAACAAACTTATTATCTATTGCTGTTTTTTTTTGTGTGTGTTATGTAATAAATATATACTATTTTTACGTATGTCCTAAAAGTATTGGCACAAAATTCAGAGGAACGCCCTGATAATGGTAGATACAAACATAAAATGAAATTTTCATATAAAATCCTTGTCTAGTGCGTAATTTATAACAGGGACGTATCCCAACCTGTTGTGGGAAGAGTGAGGGGTGAAGCTTTGAATAGTTATAGCTATATTGATAACTGCCTTTGCAAATGGCTTCAGTTTGTCCACGAACATCATGCTAATGACCATCATGATTTGGCCTGACCTAGCATCATGCCATTACCCAAGAAATACTAAAACTGGCTTCGACAACACAACAACAATAGAGGATTTTTGGTCTTTGCTGTCTAGAAAAGCTCATCATGGAGGCTGGGAAGCCCAAGATGAAGAACAATTAAGACTGCAAATTTACGAAGACAACTTTTCTATTGGGGGTTTATATAAAATGTATATCCCTCTCATCCCCGCGTTCGTTTTGAAACACCATTTGGCTGCAACCTCAACGACGAGTAAGTTGTTTGACAATTTAAATCTTTCCCGTATTGGTTGCTAGCATCATAATTGTGTTTTCAGCTCATGATGAAGGCTCCATAGAGAATTGCCGAAAGCTAGAGATTACCGTTAAAAGAGTTAACTAAAGCCTAAAAAGTTTGCCAATTTCTCAATTAACAATTAATTGTATATTTTGCCCAACTGGTGGCAATGACTACTACTCATATATATGTATATATTCAAAAAAAAATTCTGTGGGGGGTTATGATTATTCAAAAAGTACATAGAATTTGAGTTGAAATTAAAAAAAATTTGAAAAAGGACTAATGCTCGTATCTCAAATACTATAATTTTTATTTTTTGTCATTTTGTAGTAGAACATATGTCGAACACAATTAGAAACATATTTTATCTAGAATTTTAGAGTAGAAAAATTTGAAATTGGATATGTATTAATGCAAAACCTCGTTAAAATGTCATATTTAGGCTGTCGGAAAAAATGCAGTATAGAATTTGTAGGACACTATGACCGTTTGGTTACATGGCAATAAACAATTGTCCGATAGATTGAGAATCATAACCCCGTAATCGACGGGTTTCAGAATTTCCAACACGAAAAGGCAGCAGTTTCGAAAAAAAAAAAATAGATGTTTGTCGTTCAATAAAGTGGGTTATGTACTGCGGATTATATTATCATCAGAGCAGGAAGCTCTGACATCACACACTTGGGTGTTTTAACGAAATAAGCTAGTTGTACTTTCCACGTACTTGTGTCAGTAGGTACGTAGTAAATCTACTTGAATGGGATTTTGAATAGATCGTACTACTATTGAAGAGAATATTGAAACTTCAAATCATAAAAAATCTAACGATATTAAATATTTCTAGAAGTATAGCTTGTTCGAATCTCATCTACGTTTATTATCTAGCGAGCCACAAATGCCTATGCAGGCAGCGACAAGCGAATAGAAGCAGCGATAGAGCGATCATGTTTGCTTTAGTGCAAGCTCAAAATTTGCCAATATTTTTGAATTTGATTAAGAAAACTTTGACCTCATAACACTGCTTGGAACTAAGATCAAATGTCTGAAAACGGTCAAATATCTTGAGAAGTAATAAGCCAATATTTTTTAAATTTATCAGATGGTACTAACCGCATTGTTGCCAGTTTTACCATTTTCTTAAACAACAATACTTTTTTGAATTTAGATGCAATGGTATATTTTTATTTATTTATTAATTTATTTGCGGTGTTGTCGTATGTTAGTTCCTAACAGTCCTTAATAGGACCACCAAATCCGTGTATTTCCATTCTACTTATAAAGATGTGGTAACCCAGTTAAGTGTCTAAGATTGGTCAATTACCTTGGGAAGAACTGATTCGGCATCAATCATTAATAATACAGGGCATTTTTCTCAGTTTACCATTTTAAGAAAACAACTGATTTTTTTATATTTAAGTGTATATTTCCCCTTAGCATAACCTATAAGTAGCAATACTTCATCAGATGCTAATAAAGATATGACAGAAGCATCATTGCTTCCAATCACATGATAAATCTGGCAACAATGTAATTGATATGAATCAAGACATTTTCTTGACACTTACTTGGAATACTGCCCAAAACTTGAACGAGCCCTCGTTGATTATGAAATCATAGTAACTAGCCCATGGATCTTCAGCAACAGCTTTCTTTTCGGGCTTCATTTCTTCATAATGGTGATCGTCAGCTATCATCATGCCTCTGGATTGCCTAGAATTTGCTATTGCTTCATCGTAGTCCTCCAAGCCTTGCTCATATCTGTGGAAAGCCAGATTGCTCAGCAAATAAAAAAATTTGTATACATGTTTGGTTTGCGTGACAATACCTGCCGCCTTTTTAAATCAAATATGGCGGATGCTACAAAATGGCGATTTACCATTTCCCTAGTAAGCCCTACTAGATGGATATCAAATGAAAGGAATTTATGAGAGAAACACAATAAGCAAAGAGCCGTCATTGTAAATCCAATAAGGCGGATGCCACAAAATGGCGATTTGCATTTTTCACAGCCACTCATATGTTATGGTTATCAAATGAAGGGGCTTGATGAGAGAGACACAATAAGCAAAGAGAAGTCATTCTAAATCCAATATAACGAGCACCCATTATTATAGGTAACGGCAACGCGGTTTGATGATGGAACATAATAAAGGAAGGTGACGATTTATAATTTCCCTGGCCACCGCTATGATATGGGTATCAAATGAAATGGCTCAGTGAGAGAAACACGATGAGCAAATAACGTAATTCTAAATTCTATATGACGATCGCCGCAAGATATTGATTTATCATTATTTATATGATTTATATACTCTGAAATTTTATAATACAAATAAATTAAGATGTTTTACCTAATACTAGATATTTGACATCATAAATACTAAAAAGTAAGAAATAAATAAAATAAAAACATACGTTTCTAAAAACAAGCTTTTGCACTTTTTTTGCTTAAAATTAACTAAACGTTTCTAAATATTTTTGTTCGATTGGTAAGATATTGAAGCTTCAAATAAAAGCGCGTTACGTTTTGACAACAGGGCGAAAAAGGTGTAACACTCTTTGATTAGAAAGCTTGAGATGGAGGTGCTTCATTATCGCTTAAATATTTCCAATCGGAAAAACGATTTTCAAATGTTAGTTCAATCTAAGAACGGATGAATAAAAGCATGTTTTTTTAATTCGTTGGTATTATGATCACTCTTCCCCAGCTTCCAGATATGAGACTACGGATCCCCATGCACATTCTTGCGAGTCTCCAGGTGTTCGCGGACCACAGGCTAAGAGACTAGTGCTAGAACCCAGTCTGAAGTTAGGTAATTTGTAGCATTTCATTCGAAAATGACAATTGCAAAGCTCTAAATTGCCGTGGGACTGACTTTGGCATACAAAACCGAGCCGTCTTGACCCCGTTAGTCCTAGTACTCAGTTGATAACGGGCTCGGAATCTACACGCCTTATTCACCCAGAAAACCAGCTTTCATCTTACAGCTACGTACAACTTATGAAAAATTTCACACAATACGTCCTATAATATTTAGGGTGCAGAATGAATTTTAAGTTTCGTTATTTGTGATAGTCCCAAAATATGTGAGCCGGTTTGAATTCCCTACCAATCTTACTACTAAATTGACATCCTAAGCATCCTGAGAGGGGTCAAAGGGTTGAGATGGCCCTCAGAGAGATATCGAAAACTAATATCTGGAGGCTATTACATCATCAGGGGAGTATTAAGACTTCTAAGACCGTTGGGCAGGGGGCGGGGATGATCAGATAAAGAGACCTCTGGCCATTCCACCGTCAAAGTGCAGTTCTTTGCACCCTGTCACGCTGATTCTGATCCCTTATTCAAAAACATCTCTTCATTCTGCATATCCAAGAAAACGAAAATCGGCACGGGTATCACGTAACGTTTTTCTACAAGATATTAACTTAGCACTTAGTTGTACGTGTTGCCTAAACGTCATGACGCTTGTTATCAATATTTGGTTCTGATGTGATGTAAAATCTGCTTCTGAGATGGCATTACTGGAGGTCTAAGCTGTAAGTTGTATGTGTTGATGATAATTACATTGAGCCGTTGTCTCAAATACACTTAATTGAGATTCAAAGCTAGTTGCACATTCACTTTTTCTTATCCATTCTGGAAATTACATATGCAAACTTGCGGAATTTCAAAAATGAGAGAGTTAAGAAATAATTATATTCACTGTACACTGCCGAATTACAAGCCATATACATGCAGTAATTACACACAACGCGGGCGCGGTGATGATTTCCTGTAATTCTCCTCATTTTTTCGTACTTTATAACTTTGAACATAACCTCGCTTCAGAAAGCACAACATAAAAATAACCCGTCGGGCACAGCCAATAGATATACTTCATTGGCAGCATATTCAGTAATAATTTTCTCATATAGCAAATATCACTGATTGCAGACCAATACACATAATCATCCAGATGTGACCTTGCTATTCAACCAACTTTCTTCTCAGAGATAAAAACTACAGACAAGAACCATTTGAGCTCACAAAACATATGCAACCAATAATGCGTGTAGTTTAGTTGAGTGATTCCTCCTTTGATAGACGTTCACAACGATCCTAGTGAGCAAACGTGGAATAACTGTTTGCGTCCTAAAAACTACCTAGTGTGGAAGATGACATCTTATACGTTAGGTTTTTTTTGACGTTTTATAGGTTTTCTACATGATACCCATGCCGTACACTCAGATATAGTGGGGCACTGAATATAATATAACAATTAAACAATTCTGAGGTCTTCTCTCTTTCAGTTAAAGCGCCAAAATAATAACGGGTTCAGGATCTACGAACCCAACCTAGCCAGGACACATGTCTTCATCTAGATCACAGATGCACATAGATATGTAAAAATTTTCTCATAGTACGCCTAATAACCATATAGCTTTGCTGTGTTTTTACGAGGGATATCTTTCAAGTTTTGCATATGGAACTAAAACAACACGGTAGGTAGTTTTAAATGACTTTATTGTTTTTCGAAGTATTCTCCACGAAGATTAATACACATCTGCATGCGCTCGAACGAATTTTCGAAGCACTTATTCCACTCGTTTTCTGCCAGATCCTAAACGGGATTTTTGAATGCGTCAACTGCTTTTTCTGGTGACTGGAACCTTTGATCACGCAGTCCGTTTTTTATGTTCGTGAAAGTAAAGAAATCGTTAGAACTTAGATCGGGACTATATGGAGGATGGTCCAATAATTCCACGTTTTCTTTCGTTAAATACTGCCTTGTTTTTTTGGGCTGTATGCGAGCTTGCATTGTCTTGGTGGAGGATGATTCTTCTTTCGGAGTTGATTTTTCGAAGCTCGGTGATGACTTTTGGCAAACAAATGGTGGTATACCAATCCGCAATAACAGTTCTTTGCTCATTAAGAGGAATTGTTGCAATATGACCCGCTTTTGACACAAATGTCGCGACCACCTTTTTCGAAACACTTCGAGAACGGATGACTTTTGTAGGCTTTCCTTCACCTTGGAACACCCAAACAGCCGACTGTCGTTTATTTTCTGGTTCATAACAGTAAATCCACGATTCATCACCCCTAACAATGCTGTACACATTTTTTCAGTCAACAGGTGGGGTATCCAACGAGAAACTAATTTTCTTACTCCTAATTCTTCATGTAAAATTTTTTGAATTGAGGTCTTTGAGATCTTCAAGAACGCCTCAATCTCGCGATATGTCACATGTCTATCTTCCATTATGAGTTTGCGCACAGCATCGACGTTTTCCTGGGTGACTGCCGTTTTTGCTGCACCCACCCTGGGATCGTCGCTAAGACTCACTCACGTTTGAATTCTCCATACCAACGGGAAATTGTCGACTGATGTGGCGCTTCGTTGCCGAAAACAGACAGTAACTCAGCAAGGCATTCTTGTTGCGATAATTGTCTCTGAAAGTTGGAATAAATTATGGCGCGAAAATGTTCTCGGTTGAGTTATATTTTTCTAATGACTTGGTGACACTTAAAAATTCACTGTAGTGAGAACACTGCACGTATTGTTGTGAAACTTTGAATTTAAGTTTACTAAAGAGTGAGGCTAAGATTCGGTACTGACGTTCGATCCGTGCGGTCTACTGTGTTTCTATATGCAAAACTTAAAAGACATCCCTCGTATTTTTTTATATGATAATAAAAAATTCTAATTCGATTCCATAAGCCACGTTTTCTGTTTCCGAGATAATAATTGAATCATTTTCGAAATCATCCAAACTCTCAGATCCCTGTGTCAACAGAAGCTTCTTTTATTCAGAACTTACCGTGATTTGGTGCTGGCCAAAGCATACTTCTGAGTCGTTGCTGATGGAAGGTTCGACGTAAACTCACTTAATACAAAACAGCAAGCACAAGTTAAAATCAATATAACACAAGACACACACGAACTGTTGGAATACATATTCAACGGAAAAAAATATATCAACCTTTGGCTCAGTTATATATCAAAGTGTTGACAGATATCTAGGATTTTTCGTGAAAGTGGATTCAACTGTAAGGCGGCAACAGTTGGTATGGGCAGACGAAAAATAAAAATCAAAATATCGTGCGGTAAGTTTAAGTAACGGACTGTATAGGGCAATAATTGAACAACAAACAAAATAGATGATCATGAGTTAAATCTACAATCGTAGGAATATGGACCATCAATTCGTTAGACCCCCTAATTAGTTATACCGTACATTCGAATATAACCCAGGAGATAAAGGCCAGAAATAGAAGCCTAAAATAGAGGACAAATATAATGATGGTTTAAAATATTGGAACGAAACGATTTATTAAAATAATAGAATGTAGAAGCATTATTTCAGGATTTTCACGTATAGCAAATAGGCAATACCGAGGCAATACTGAGAGTAGTATCGCTAATGTAAGGGAAATTCTTAAATATTTTGGGGTGGCTGATGACTTACAAAGTGGTGTCGTCAAGACAGGAACATGGATTTCGTCCAAAAAATTCCCGTTAGTAGCTCTTGACCTCCCGCATTAAATCATTTTGTGCAGTACACTTCAACTCGTCAGAAACTAGACAATGAAAATTGGCAGTGCGAGTTAAAGGTAATGGTTCTTCGATGTCTTCTTGTACGCTATGTTTTAAGTGTTTGATTTTCTATATGATTTTTTATTATTTGTGTTTTGTTAGACTTCATAATTTGTGATGAATCTCGTAGAAATAATGTTCCTGGTTTTTTGGAGTTGTCAACTTGTAACTTGTGCTCCTTCTACAACTTCGGATGGTAATCAAAAAATATTTAAGTTGAAAATTACACCAAATATGTTTTACCTATACTACTGACATGTTTTTTTTGTTTTATGGAATATATATGATTTTGACGCAAATCGCCCGCATTGCATCATTTGCGAAAAGACCGTAACATTTGTTTTATGGTAAGATACAGAATGTGGTTTAATAACATTTGAATGTGAGGTTATTTACCCTGGGTCTTCTAATAAAACATCCTTCCCTATAAATTTTTGCTTGACGACAAAAACCTTAATCGCTTACATACATATATCATATACAAAGAAAACATGACGAGAAAGTTGTACTTCTGTCCCACCTGCGGAAAATGGCACCATATTCAGGTTGTCCGCAAAGTTTATCAGGCACCGCAAACTCAACCAAACCGGAACCAAACCAAAGCCGGTGCTGTCCTATCCCTCGCTCACGTCCACAGCGCCAGCGTACAGTTATATGACGTACGACTACGATGCAAATACGGATTTTACGACAGAACCGTACTTGGAAATTCAGTTCAACTGAACAGTGAGTACTTTTTCATTTATTTTTTTTATTTGTTCGCTCACGTTTAACCACACATTAGCTTTGTTATATCAAGCGTAGTTGTGTCTGACAAAGAAAACCCCAACTCTGCTGACCCCCTGTACGTTATGTTTCATCATCATTGAAATGCTCTTGTCTTTCAACAAGTGATCCAGAAAAGTGAACGACATTCTTAAATATAGTGAAATTTGTTTTGTTTCTATCTCTGTTAAACGCAAATCTTTTTTTTCTAAGAACTTGCTCTATGTGTCTCGCTTGTTTTGAATATTTTATCACAGTTACCGTCCAAAGTTGCATAAAGAAGTATATGAACTCAGGAACTGATAATTCCAACATAATCAGTACATTATTTCTATAAATTACGCGATAAATCATGTAGTTAAACAAAACATATAATGAAAAGATATATAATAACAGTATACAGTCTCAATGAACCGTTCTTCAAGCCCCTACAACCCAGCCAGTGTTTTACCCATAAAAAACTTTTCAAAAATAATCAGGATTATCTGAAACGTCAAAAAACGTAGTTTGAGATATTTTAATTCTTTTCGTCCTTAGCGTGGAGTAACGTTGTGTGAAAATTTCCCACAGACAGGCTGGTTTTTCGTGATGTACAGGCTATATAACATTCCGATTTTTTTGCGATTACAATACCGGTAGACGTTGGAAGTAAAAATAAATACCACACATCGTTAACTGAGCAACATATTTGTGACTTGTCACTATAAATCATCAGATTTGACGCCTGACAAAAAAAAGTTGTTACGGCAGAAACAATATCAGAAATCACATTGATTGTATCACCTTACCTACTTTAGATTCGGATTTTTGTGTTTTCTTATTTAGCACAACCTGATCTTTGTTTTATTATTTCACATAACACTAATTGGATTTTTACCCATAAGTTCTAAGAGTAACTAAAATTGAATCCCTTCCGTTTGATCCGATTGTTAGAAAAAGTTGAGCAGACTGCCGACCATGTTCCAGTCTTGAGGACCCTTCAATGTTAGTCTAGCAATTTGTTTTTTCATTCATTATATCTTTATATTTAGTTATGTTTGTAGGTGCTTGCAAAATGTACACCAAAGCGTACCTGTTTCCTAGACTATAGAGAGATATGTCCAGATGGGACACACTTTTCAAGATTGAACGCAAAAAGGGAAATCGTGATATAGTTCAAGCATAGCCGTCGTCAGAAAACCATGCAGACGACAATGTCAGGGGTCAAACACAAAATGTAATTTCAACTTATCCCTGTGTTTTACCACAAAAAAGCTGAATACTGCTCTGGGTAATTCTCTTTGTTGTCTGCAATGTCTCATAGGGAAATAGATTTATCTCTCTAGAAAATAATGAAAAGGAAACTCCTAGATACATGATGATTATGTGAGTTTGGCAACTAAACCGTGTATTCCGAAATAGCTGAAAATGATGTTACCCCTGAAACTTATTCGATGGTTGCCGTGTTGATAGAACTCCACGATGAAATCACATATTCATGTATTAATTATTTCCGTTTCTACCACCAAAGTATATTTTGAAACAGGCCATCGTGATGGCCAAAAGAGTTCTTTTTGAAAGCAACCGGGAAGTAAGTAACTAATACCACATATACGAGGGATGTCCTTTAAGTTTTGCATATGGAAATAAAACAACACGGTAGGTAGTTTTAAATGAGTTTATTGTTTTTCGAAGTATTCTCCATGAAGAGTAATACACATCTGCATGCGCTCGAACCAATTTTCGAAGCACTTATTCCACTCGTTTGCTGGCAGATCCAAAACGGCATTTTTGAATGGGTCAACTGCTTCTTCTGGTGACTGGAACACAGTCTGTTTTTCATTTTCGGGAAAGTAAAAAAATCGTTAGGACTTAGATCGGGACTATATGGAGAATGGTCCAATAATTTCACGTTTTCTTCCGTTAAATACTGCCTTGTTTTTTGGGCTGTGTGCGAGCTTGCATTGTCTTGGTGGAGGATGATTCTTCTTTCGGGGTTGATTTTTCGAAGCTCTGTGATGACTTTTGGCAAACAAAAGGTGTTATACCAATCCGCAGTAACAGTTCTTCACTCATTAAGAGGAATTGTTTCGACACAAATGTCGCGACCATCTTTTTCGGAACACTTCGAGAACGGATGACTTTTGTTGGCTTTTCTTCACCTTGGAACACCCAAACAGCCGACTGTCGTTTATTTTCTGGTTCATAACAGTAAATCCACGATTCATCACCACTAAAAATGCTGTACACATTTTTTGAGTATCCAGAATTGAAACGGTCAAGCGTTTTTTGACACCAATTAACCCTAGCTGCTTTCTTCTCTTCAGTCAACAGGTGGGGTATCCAACGAGAAACTAATTTTCTTACTCCTAATTCTTCATGTAAAATTTTTTGAATTGAGGTCTTTGAGATCTTCAAGGACGCCTCAATCTGGCGATATGTCACATGTCTATCTTCAATGATGAGTTTGCGCACAGCATCGACGTTTTCCTGGGTCACTGCCGTTTTTGGTGCACCCACCCTGGAATCGTCGCTAAGACTCACCCGTCCACGTTTGAATTCTCCATACCAACGAAAAATTGTCGACTGAGGTTGCACTTCGTTGCCGAAAACAGACAGTAACTCAGCAAGGCATTCTTGTTGCGATAATTGTCTCTGAAAGTTGTAATAAATTATGGCGCGAAGATGTTCTCGGTTGAGTTCCATTTTTCTAATGACTTGGTGACACTTAAAAATTCACGTAGTGAGAACACTGCACGTACTGTTGTGAAACTTTGAGTTTAGGTTTACTAAAGAGTGAGGTTAAGATTCAGTACTGACGTTCGATCCGCGCGGCCTACTATGTTTCTATATGCAAAACTTAAAAGACATCCCTCGTAGTTTGTCATATTGATGCTTCTCTATTTCAATCGTCGAGAAAGTATTGAAAAAAGGCTTTTGATGCTAGCTAGCAGAACAAAAATACATCCAACAAATGTTAGCACCTGACACCCCTCTGAAACTGAAATGAACTAGTCTACATGCCAAACCAACTTTTTTTGCATTAATTCAAGTTTGTCGGTTTGACGACAGGCTTCAAAATATTTGTAAAATGTCATAATTGACTTAGGTTAGACTGAATTGCGCTATACAATGAAAACATTCAAATCGAATGTAGGGATATATTAAAGTGAAAAAATTCTATAAAATATGTAAACTCAATAACCCATCACCATTTGGCAGTAGATTCGTAATCAGCACGAGATTAGACAGGAACCAGTTTTCCTTCATCAGGTCAGGAGGTCTTAAGTGGTCAAACGAGTATGTTAAGTTGTAACTTCTGGAAAGAACGCAAGCTCTCTGGAAACTTTACAACCATATATTTTGTCGAAACAGAGTGCTCTTAATAGTTTGACGAGAGCATAGAATCTATTTTATTGATGCACTCTAGTGTGACTTTGACAATGATCTTAGAGGTCATTTGGAGGGCAAGCTTGTATATTTAAATGGCACCCACTGTTTTTGGCAGCAGATCCGTAATCAGCTGAGGATTCTAGGGCTAGGCAATTTAAAACCAAAACTGAAAGTAAACGAACGCCCCGGAAACTTGGCTGGAATGCCTTTCAAAAAGCGAAAGCTTCAGAAAACAAAAAGAAAAATGCAATTGATCGATAATCTCAGGTATAATCTAGTCCTTAGACGTTATTTGATATGATTAGATATCTGATAGCATACTGACATCATATATAATAAATAATAATTTAAAAAACTAAAAAAACACACTTTTATATCTAACCAAACTAAAAAGTAGACAATAATTTTTAATTACAAAGAGTAATTACAGTAGAAGATGGTTGAACAATCAATCAAAATAAAATTATAATAAAATTTAAGTTATTAATAGAATAAATCAATTCAGAGTAAAAAGCGTGGGGTGCTTATTTAAAGTTAATCAAACTTCTTGAAATTGGTCAAAATTATGCACAAAGATTCCGTTAGATACATACAGGCCAGGCTAACAAAATCGTGTTAAAAACTGACAAATGTCCACATGCCTGACCTCATATATGAAAACTGATTCCTATACTAAGTGATATATAAATCCGAACACACAGTTTAAATGGTTTTATTTTAATAAAAGTTGGTGAATGTATTTATCTTACTGTGAATAACAAGCCTTATCAGTTGGACAGTCCGGTTTTTATACTGCTTTTTTTAATTCACTAACGCTCTAAAAATGAATATTTCAGCTGCAGTAAAGAATCAACGTTGGCGGATTTTGGTTCTTGACATCCTTTACGATCGGTTACGATGCCTAGAGTACGGAGACCTGTACGATTTCGTCAGCTTAGTGAGTTTGATAGGGACCGTATAGTGGGACTTCGGGAAGCTGGACTTTCTTTTCGGGCAATTGCAGTTAGAGTGCAAAGAAGTGTAGACACTGTGGTTAGGTGTTGTCAGGCATGGCTTCGAGAAGGCCGTACGCAAAGAGCAAGGGGCACTGGACGCCGCCGTAGAACAACAGACCGTGAAGATCGCCGGCTAAGATTATTGGCCTTAAGGGACCGTTTCTCCACTACCAGGTCCATTGCAAATGAGACGAATGAGAAGTTTTGGCTTGTTTTCATACCGGCCACACTGGGTCCTCCCTTTAAGTCGAGAACACCGACGTAATCGCCTTGAGTAGTGCAGACAACGCTCACTCTGGGATCAGGAATGGAACAGTATTGTCTTTAGTGACGAGTCTCGATTTTGTTTAGGCATGCACGATGGTCGTGCCAGGGTTAGAAGGCGACGTGGTGAAAGGAGGAATCCACAGTTTTTTGTTGAAAGACATGTTCATCACACTGTTGGAGTTATGGTTTGGGGTGCTATAGCTTATGGTTCCAGATCACCTTTAATCTTCATCAGAGGTAACATGAACGCGCAGCGTTATATCCACGAAGTTCTAGAACCCCATCTTTTACCCTATCTTGACACCCTGGCAGATGCAACTTTCCAACAAGATAATGCCCGACCACATGTTGCAAGAGTCACAATAGACTTCTTTCAACATAATGATGTAACATTGTTACCATGGCCACCAAGATCTCCCGACCTATCCCCAATTGAGCACGTGTGGGATATGATGGGTAGGAGATTGCTCAATTTGCAACGTCCTCCTCAGACTCTAGAAGCACTTCGAGAGGAGTTGGTGGTTGCCTGGAATGAGATACCACAGGATTACATTGACCACCTGATCAGAAGCATGCCTAGGCGCGTTGGAGAATGCGTAGCACATCAGGGTGCATCCACACATTATTAAAGGTCAAAGGGCTTTAAAGCAGTGCAATCATTTTGAAATTTTTATCATTTACTTATTATGCTTCATTAAGTACTTATACAAAATTTTATTAAAATAAAACCATTTAAACTGGGTGTTCGGATTTATATGTCACTTAGTATATATAGGATCTTATCTTATCTGCTTTCAAAAATGGTGGATGCTATCCGAATTCAAGAAGTTGACTGCTAAATGACCTCTGACTTTTTTAAACAACTGAAACTTTTCTAGAAATACATAGTCCACATTTGCGGTTTCTTGACGTTATCTTTGAAGATAGAAAGTATATTCGAGTTACAGACAAACCTGTGTATACAGTGCTACATTTGCTCCTTTTTAATATTATTATTCAAACTAAGCCGTTACATGAATGTGTAATTTCTAATTCAATATATTTTTTCACTCTGCTCTCTGCTTTACTATCCTCAAATTTCTAATTCGTTTCTCAAAGAACAGAAATTATGAAGGAACTAAGGATGTACGTTATTAATAGAAAATAGACGGATTCTTTGTGGGGATTCAAATGATACACTGCACTTTAAGAATAAACCATTTATTGTTTCTTATATTTTATCCAAAAGTATTTATATAAATTTTTCTATGAGCTCTCTCAAGCGCTCTAGATACATCCTGGTGTACTTGATCGACCCTTCTCATCTGTTGTGAAAACATTCTTGCACTTCTTCCCTTCCCTAGAGAGTGATCATGCTTGAGCTGTATTTTGTGCCTGGTTATGGCCTTCAGAATGAGGGCTGTCACGTAGAACATGAAGTATATGCTGAAATACAGCGGCACATACCAAAGCTTCCTACCCAAGTAATAGTAGCTGTAGTGAGTGGTGCTCACTCTTTTCTTATTTGGTGCTTTTGTCGAGGCTTCTTCTGTGTGTTCTTCGTGATGGCTTGGAGTGTCGTAGAGATATTGAGGAAAATCAGACAGGTCGTGTTTGGTTTGAAGTATTCTTCCAAAATTTGACCTCGTGGAGCTTTGGGCTATTTGGTCTGCTGTACTGTTTAACCTGAAAAATAAAATGTAAGGTCAGATATAATTTTATTCTGTACTAGCTGCATTTTTATACTCAAGTAACCTAGAAAGCAAACCTCAAATTTCGATAAAAAAGCAATTTTGGGAAAGGCGATGTTTGCGTTGAGCGCAACGCAGATAGGAGTCAAACCTGTCGCGAGCTAGCTGCTGCCACTGGCGGTTTATCCATCGAAACGTAGTCAAATGGTCGTTCAGGGCAAAAGACAAATTTCTAGAACGCAACGCTGTCAAATGGATGGGAACTGCAGGTATGGGCGTATTTGACTGACTTGATCCATTTAATTACTATTTCCTAAGAATATTTCATGAATTGATGACAGCGTCGCTTGGGAAGTGCAAAGAAATCTAATTGACTCGATTACGAGCCCGAATTTATTTTATTTGCAACCACAAGAGTGAGATCTGCATTATCATCTAAAGCCTTTCTGTACTCCAGAATGAGTCCCGATGTTATCCTATACGAACGTATGGTTTGGATGCCACCTAGTTATCCGAGCAAAAAGTCATTCCTTTCTCCAAAGTGATAATGCAGAAAAAACAAGCAATAACGAACCCTGACTACTGATTCGAAGTCTTCGATGTATGGTCTAATTTTCAACTTACCCTTGAATGAGTTGTCCTTCTCCTGTGGGTTCCAAGGCCTTGCACTGCGTACTAAAAACAAGCTCGGTCACAAAATATACCAAGAGGATCAACATTTTCCTACTAAGACGAGGGCTGTGACGCTAACTGTATATGGTTAAGTATTGAATACGATTGGAGTCTGTCTATGCATGTCATTCCATAGTGTACTAGATGATAATTATTTGTGTTAACAAGATATTTAACACCGTCGAGATATCACCTACTTGAAATTGGTTCAAAGTGAAATGGAACATTTCGGAATTTTAATAATTTGCTTAACTGTTTATTGCGATTCACGTTCTCTGCTAGATTCTTCATTCAAAACCGTCTGGTAAATGAATATATTAGTTGAAGAGTTTAGTAAGAACTAATTGATTCAGTTCAATTTCTCAGATTTACAGAGTACAAAATTTGTTCTGAAAGAGCAATTTTTACAGCGGTGACCATCAGATCGACGTTCGTCGTAGGTGTCTCCTTGGTACTTATTTTGCAATGGCGTACTGTCACATGAGGTACTTGGGGCAGTTCTTGTGGCATACAGAGAATATTTATTCTGCAAAAGAGGCTGATTAGATTAGTATTTGGTCTCAACCCACTGTAGCCAGTATTTAAAGATAATAAAATTTTAATGTTACCGTCAATATTTATCTACGAGTCATGGTTATTTGTTAAAGAAGACGCAGATTTATTTCCCCAGCGCAGTGAAATACACGCATGCAATACTAGATATTGTCTAAACATATGTCTACAATTTTAGTGGGAAAACTTTTTATCCGAAAACAAAAAATGATAAAACGTCTTTTTTGAGATTTAATCGAGTCTTGGTAGGAACGAAAAAACTCTTCAAACAAGAATTAGATGACACGTAGAAAGATCCGACTAATAGAAAAAAGTTATGGCCAAAAACTGAGCAAAAATGCAAATATTGGCACTTGTTGGTGATGCGACGATAGTTTCACGCATTTACTTGAAATTCTTCAAATTCATGGGATTCATACTTCTAAATAACCAGAACAAAATTGGAGTAGATTGGTCAAACAGTTTTGAGCCATCACTGCTAGTTTATTGTGCAATATACAGGGTTCGTTCCTAGGGCATTTAATAGCAAAATACACGACATGAACGAATCACAAACTATTTCGAAAGTGGAATGTTATTTTTATGCGAAAAACAAAGGGTTACGTTTTTTTTCTTCTAAGCAAATCCAAACATTTCGTATTTGTGAATAATTGTAACAAAAGGTGATAGAAACATACGGTTTGTCTTAAAATATGTATACTAAGTTACATATAAATCCGAACACCCAGTTTAAATGGTTTTATTTTAATAAAATTTTGTATAAGTACATAATGAAGCATAATAAGTAAATGATAAAAATTTCAAAATGATTGCACTGCTTTAAAGCCCTTTGACCTTTAATAATGTGTGGATGCACCCTGATGTGCTACGCATTCTCCAACGCGCCTAGGCATGCTTCTGATCAGGTGGTCAATGTCCTCCTGTGGTATCTCATTCCAGGCAAAAACCAACTCCTCTCGAAGTGCTTCTAGAGTCTGAGGAGGACGTTGCAAATTGAGCAATCTCCTACCCATCATATCCCACACGTGCTCAATTGGGGATAAGTCGGGAGATCTTGGTGGCCATGGTAACAATGTGACATCATTATGTTGAAAGAAGTCTATTGTGACTCTTGTAACATGTGGTCGGGCATTATCTTGTTGGAAAGTTGGATCTGCCAGGGTGTCAAGATAGGGTAAAACATGGGGTTCTAGACTTCGTGGATATAACGCTGCGCGTTCATGTTACCTCTGATGAAGATTAAAGGTGACTTGGAACCATAAGCTATAGCACTCCAAACCATAACTCCAACAGTGTGATGAACATGTCTTTCAACAAAAAACTGTGGAATCCTCCTTTCACCACGTCGCCTTCTAAATCTGGTACGACCATCGTGCATGCCTAATGAAAATCGAGACTCGTCACTAAAGACAATACTGTTCTTCCATTCCTGATCCCAGAGTGGCCGTTGTCTGCACCACTCAAGGCGATTACGTCGGTGTTCTCGAGTTAAAGGGAGGACCCAGTGTGGCCGGTATGAAAACAAGCCAAAACTTCTCATTCGTCGGTAAACACTTCGCATGCCAATAGGTCTTCCGTGTTCTGCAAACCATTCATTTGCAATGGACCTGGTAGTGGAGAAACGGTCCCTTAAGGCCAATAATCTTAGGCGGCGATCTTCACGGTCTGTTGTGCTACGGCGGCGTCCAGTGCCCCTTGCTCTTTGCGTACGGCCTTCTCGAAGCCATGCCTGACAACACCTAACCACAGTGTCTACACTTCTTTGCACTCTAACTGCAATTGCCCGAAAAGTAGGTCCAGCTTCCTGAAGTCCCACTATACGGCCCCTATCAAACTCACTAAGTTGACGAAATCGTACAGGTCTCCGTACTCTAGGCATCGTAACCGATCGTAAAGGATGTCAAGAACCAAAATCCGCCAACGTTGATTCTTTACTGCGGCTGAAATATTCATTTTTAGAGCGTTAGTGAATTAAAAAAAAGCAGTATAAAAACCGGAATGTCCAACTGATAAGGCTTAAAGTTGTGTCACTTGTTATTTACAGTAAGATAGAAACATTCACCAACTTTTATTAAAATAAAACCATTTAACCTGGGTGTTCGGATTTATATGTCACTTAGTATATAATAACGTATGTCTTTCGATGTACACTTGTTTAATTACAATAAAAAATATGAAATTTTTGAATTTGTTTAGAAGATAAAACCTTTTGTTTTTCGCATAAAAATATTTATTAGTAGTGATGAAGAAGTTTGAAAAGAACCACATTCTATAGTTTACTCAAAGAACTTCATTTTAAGTATAGAAAACGGCCCATAAATATTATTTTGATGGACAACCAAGAGATTATTTAATGGAGAAAAAATTATTTAAAATCGATAAAGAAATACCGCGACCAGGGCAGGAAGATTTATTACTTGGATGAAACCTGGATAATATAATTCCTTAAGTATGGGCTGACTCTACAATTAAATCAACTAGACAAGCCTTCTTAGATGGACTAACCACTGACCTAAAGAATCCGTCAGGTACGTGTTTCTAACCAATTCGTCATTTGTGTTGTAAAAATGGTGTCAAATAGACTGAATCTATGAGCCCACGCTGAAAACTTATCTACACTAAACTTAGCTACTCGTAGATTTGGAATCAACACCTGTTAGATACTCTGCTTGTATTATTATTAGTTTTCTTAATTATATGAAAAAAATATTTCCAGAAAAAGGAAAACGATTTGTTATCTGCCATATTGGCAGAGAAGATGGTATTGTGCCCACTGCTCTATGGGCATTTAAGTCAAAGAAAACAACCGACTACCGCTTAATGATAATAATAATAATAATAATCCGGATTTATTTATATGTATAAGTATAAAAAGGCGAAGTGTCGCTAAAAAGCGTTTTTCAACTTAACCCAACAAATATTTGTGTAAATATTCTAATCCCAATGAAAACAAGAAAGTTAAAAAAACCTGTAACTAGTCCCTATTCATGGCCATGGTCTACTTACTGGGCAATGAAATCAGAGATAAAATGCTACAATCTTTGTTTTAAATTCTTTATAGAGTAGTGAGTGAACTCGGTAGGCAACGCGTTGTATAGCTTGATAGCAGTATACGGTGGATGTCTTTTAAGTTTTGCATATAGAAACATAGTAGGCCACGCGGATCGAACGTCAGTACTGAATCTTAGCAGTTTCAAAAATTGAGATGTTGAATGTCTCGGGATAACCAAGATATACTTATTCTTTGTGTTCAGTTTACTAACATCTGAGTATCTGATAAATTTGGTTGATAGACATGGAGGGGCTTGTGGTGTGACTACTTTATGTGTCAAGGTCAATACGTGCATTTTTTGTAGCTCTTCTATTTTTTGAACACCCAGCTCATGATATTTATGTGATACTGTCTTAAGTTTTCTCACTCCACAAACAAATCTAAGACACGCATTTTGAATAGTCTGAAGTCTCCTTATCTCAATCGATCTCAGTGCAGACCCATAAATACAGTCACAGTAGTGAATTCTAGATCATATTAAGGTTTCGCACAACTTCAGCTTGAGACCAGTATTCATACCTTTTCTATGAGGAAATAATTGCTTCAAGATACCGAATCATGTTCGGCACAGTTGACTAACATGTTTTTCAAACCTTAAATCAGAATCAGTCCAGACTCCTAAATTCTTGCACTCATTTTTTATAGGGATCGGTTGGTCGATGGTTTGAAGAAACGCTCCCAAAGCTTCACGACAATGCCGTCATTGTACTTGATAATGCTGCATGCCACACTAGAAAACTAGAAAAAGTTCCCACAATGTCCACAAGAAAGGCAGAAATTCAACAATGGCTCCTATCAAAAAATATTGGTTTCAGTGAAAATATGGTGAATGTGGATTCAACAATAGAACATTCAAATTTTCTGACGTGAAAAAATTGTTTTATGAAGCTGAATGGCGGGAAACAAAGTTGTGGGATCTGGATTCAAATTGAACCTGTAATAATTAATATTAATCATTCTGACGATGATTCAAGTATTTCCAGCAAATACAGAATTGTGAAAAGTATATGCACTTCTTTCTATAGAAATAATCATTTATTTTGCTAGATTATTCCAATACCATTGAGGAAAATACGGACCTGTACTATCTCGCTCTTGGACATGTTGTGTTTTCTCTGGGGGTAAATGGACTACGAATGGGGTATAGAAGAAACATTTCAAAAACTGTTGATGCACACTTTATGGCACTTGGAGAAGTGAATGAAGTACGGATGTTCTTGAAATTCCCCGTTTCTATAATTTGTTTTATTCTATGGATGTTTATGCTGATATTGTTTTGACTGAAAAATTCTACCACAAAACAAATGAACACTATTTTAAGGCTAAATTTTTAGTTCTGTGACTGACATTGCCGTAGAAAGTGTTTGTAAAATTATTAGAGGTACGACGATCTAGTACTTTTTTGTCATTTATGTGCTAGGTTTAAATGTTTAGCTGTACCATAAATTTCGAGAAACCAAATAAGTAATTATGCATGACTATAAGCATTTCCACACTTAGCAGCTGTCTCTTTATTCAGTTAGCC